CAGAGCTCAGGTTTACCTTGCAGGAAGCTCTAGATTTACCTACACCTATTCCCAGGGGAAGAGAGTTTTCTGGAACCTACATCATCTCAATCAATACTAAAAGCACCTACAGGATACCTGGTTATCTAACAGGACCCAGCTGTCCTGAAAGGTCTCCCCCTACATCTGTGTTCAGGAGTAGGAATGCAGAAAAGCATAGAAATAAGTTAAGATGGCAAAACTGCTTGCTCCAGCCTGAACAAAAAATAGAGTAAAAATTAAATTAAATTAAAATCCAGTGACTTAGAGTTCTGAGGCTTCTTCACCATTGTTTAATTGTCAGTCCATGACTCACCATCCTTTATGAAGCTCAGGATGGACAGCAATTCAATTATATTAAGTTTCACTCCTGATCTCCTGCCACCTGTTGTCACATCTCCACTTATTTGCTACCAGAATCAGATAGCTGAGACATTGCAGCTCCACAGATCTTCGCTTCTGGGTTTTCAGGACAGCACCAGCACTAAGGATGCTGCTTATGCCCTTGCTATCTGACCCAGAAAATTCACACTGGAGCTCTCTGGCTTTGCAGTCACCAGCTGCTCACTTTCCAAAATCCAGCCTACATTTGCAGTTCAGATGCTTCCAGTCCTGGCACTTGAACTCCACATATTGATTTGCAAACCAAGTATCCCAGAAATGCCCACTGTTTGACCTTCCATTTCTTTAGTGGATAAAAACTACGCATACAAAGGTCAAGCTCCCATTGATGTCACAGGTCCAGGCTGTAACACCAGCTTCACTTACTGGGATATACCTGTGGCAAAACAGAGCACTGCAATCCTAAACATGCTCTTTTCAGACCTATTAGGTGCTGAGATTCTCCAGGGTTCAGTTACAGCAGTTGCACCCTTCTGCACTGCCCTGCAAGGCTTGGCTGACCTTACTGTACCCAACCTGTGCTTCCCACCCCCTGGGCACTGCAGCACCCAACATCTTCTAAGTGCACTCAGGTTGACTGGAGACTCCTGAAATCCCTTTGGTCCCTTCTACAGCCATTTTATATCAGGATACTGCAGGAAGGATAACAGGTTTTTCTCCACTATGAGCTGAGCAAGATTTAAACAATACAACCTTTTTTTCTACTTCACTATCCAAAAATGCCTCCAAGCAGCAAGAAAAATGCTCACAGGCCCTAAAGCTGCATCCCTGGACTGCAAAGACAGCACAGCACCAAAATCTCAGAGCTTGTCAGCTAACAAACCTGCCCTGTGCCTCCCTGTCTTGCTGTTTGCCTTCAGACCTACCTGGAATTTTCTCTTGTGACATCTTTGCAGCAAGTTTGCAGACCCCCAGGTAACACCCTGCTGTAACCCAGCACAAGTTGCTGACTGACTGCTCGGCAGCCTAACGCTGATTTTACTGCTTTCCCTTCCCTGTAATTAGACTCTCCCCCTCTAAAAGGAGAAGGGAGATGAACGGCAGGACTATTTAAAGTGCTGCCACAAGCACTTGCACTGAAACAGGTGAAACCAGGGCTCAAATTCAACTTTTCTTTTTTTTTTCCATTAGGCTTTCATTTCACATTTAGTCAAGTTTCGGCCACTGCCTGGCCAGACTATTGCAGCTCAGGACCCTTACATCTTTATAAAGGGAGAATGTGGAAGTCAGCCTTTTAAGAGAGACTAAAACTGATGTCTTCTGTGCTGAACCAATTAGGAGGAGCTCCTCAGGGCACACGGCTGATGGGAGCAGGAGCTGTGGGGATAGATAGGAACACATGATGGGCTCTCACTACTAACCAGGAATTCATAGCAGATTTTTCCTCAGAAGGGTCTGCATGGAAGAGTGGATTTCACCTGCAGGAGTTGCACAGGTGTCCTCATATCTTCCCAGAGGAATGAAATAGGAGGGAAAATAATAATAATAATAATAAAAAATTAAAGGAAGCACAAGGAGCTGTCAGGTATGATTTCTGCTCCTGAGTTGGTCAGGACCTGCCTTTATAAGACTATATTGCAGTGAGGTGATTTACATCAGCTGGCAAGCCAGGGTGTCATCTGTTTCTGTATGCAGTGAGCCATAACCAAGGCTTGTCTTGTTTATTCTAGCGGTGATCGGCATTTAGCACAATCCAAGGGTGATGAGAAACTGCCCTAAAGTACCCAGAGTGACCTGGATTTGGAAAGCAGGAATGGATTTATGAAGTCCCTCCTAATGACTCGTTTTTAGCAGATTCCTTCCAGCACACAGGTAAATCTGCCAGGATCTCCTCCCTTTTTTTTTCCTGGAAAACAGTTCCTAGCTGAAGAAAATTTGTACTGCATGTAAGCCTAAACAGAACAGAAGTATAAAATGGCTTTGATTTGAAACAGGATCTTTTCCTATTTGTTGTAAGTGACATTAAGATCAGGACGAGTAAGTAGAGCATTCAGGCTGCATTCTAACAGATTTTCACTGATGATTTAAGAGGTGATTTTGTTCCCAACAGAGAAGAGAACAGAATAACCTGCACCCCTGGCCAGGACAGCATTGCTTGGAGGTACACGTGTGTAAGGGCTTCTGTGCTGTATGTTGTAGGAACAGCTCAGGGAAGGTGCTGTCCCAGAAGCAGGCTGCTGTAAGTGGAAGGATCACCTGCCTGAGAGGCAGAGTGAGAAAGAAGGCACAAATCACAGATCGTGGTCAGGGATGCACGAGAAGCTTCGTGGCACCACGAGTCAGTGAAGGCAGATGGGCTGAGCCTCTGCCCTGCATTTCAGCTGAGATGATTTCCAAAGCATTCAGAAGGTCTGCAATCTAATTGATGTGCATAGCTTCAAGCCACACTGGATTACAATTAGAAAATCCTCCAGAACTCAGGGAGTTTTAGTCCCACTTGCTAGATATTCCTCAAGAATCTCAGTTGGTTTCCATCCCCAGCAAGCAGAGGTGTAACCAGTAGGGCAAAACTGGGATGCTGGAAGTCTTGATGTGTAATATCTCACCTCTTTTTGCTTGTCTTCACTTTCTTAATTACTCATCTTGTCACCAACACATCAGTTTGTGAGTCCCCAGACCACACTGTTGTTCAGCTGTTCCATTTAAGCCAGAAAGAGAAAACTCCTGCTTGTTTGCTCTCCCGCAGGGCTCAGACCTGCCCCTAACCTTTCTTGACATGTCAAGGCCTTAGGATTCACATCTGAAACCAAAAATAACCTTTATGGTGCAGAGGTTATCTTCTTCAAGAGATCTTCTGATCCCTTAGCCGTCTAAATCACAGGGTCAAAGTGCTCGGGTTCATGATAGAAATATGAGTAAAGGTTGGCTATGTGCTAAAGTTAGAACTACAGTCTCTTTAAGTGGAAGGACTGAAGGCAAGCAGGCCATCTCCCCAGTTTTCAGCTGGGAAATGAATGATTTGCACAGAGACTTTCAGTGCATTCTGAAAGAAATGTGCTTCTCTCTGAGCTGCCTTCATTCTGCCCAGGTCTACTCAAAGCACGATTGCCAAACAGGCCAGGAACTTGGCAGCTTGGGGAGCTTGGCAAGATCTGCCTCCCATCTGCCTCATGAAGCAGATATACCTCACAGCTGCCCAAAAAGCCTACGGACCAGCCTTGCTAGAAAGTCATCTACAGTCCCCTGTTGGTACTCCTGCAGGAACTGAACACGGAAACTCACAAATGCACTCCTTGCTGTTACACCTGTGACCTGTTAATGGCAGCTTGCATTGAGGAGACCCACAGAAGGTTCTTCTTGTCTCACATTGCTCCTGTTCATCCCCCCCAGATTCCTCCAGGACCACTTCAATCATCCCCTGCTCCAGAATGAAATGAAGATCAATGCGCCCTTTGTCGAGATCTGAATCACTTTCTAGGAGCAAATTGCTGCAGATTACAGTTATACGGGAGGGAAAATTGCCTTAACAAGCCCAGAACAGCCTTGCTTTTAAGCATCTGTCTGTGCTGTGATTCTAAATCTCTCCCTTTGGAACAGGCTCTGCAATACAAGGAGGTTTATACACGGCATAGAGCAAACTTCCTTGGATCAAGAGAAGGGGATCTTTCTGGCAATGTGAGGAGTGCCTTAAAAAGGTAAATTTCACATCCTGGCCCTCAGCAGGTTATGAGCCTTCATTTCTCCTTTGCAGGGCAGCCCCTGTTGCTTTACTTTTCCTCAGGCTGCAGCCTCACGCCAGGATGTGCAATGACTTTCCCCAAGCACTGCAGCAGGCGATGCTCACAGCTGGCGATGTTTCTCTGTTCTGCTCAGGGAAGGAAGAAGAAAGGAAAACAAAACCCAAACGCACACAAGACTACAAAATCCACTCACCTTTATTTATGGAAATAGCAGATAACCTCAGGGCCGAGGTGGAATTCCTGTGATGCTGAGGATGGTGAGAATGGCTGCAATGTTCAGTGAGAACAGCAGGGAGGATCTGCTGCCCAGGAAAAACAGATCCTTCAGACTCGAGGCTGAACGTCTGCAATTCACAGCTCTGGGCTGTGACACACAGGCTGCAGGACTGTGCTTCCCTGCAGCAGAAGGCAGAATGCCTCCATCCCACCCTACACATCTCCAGACTCCAACTCTCTTGCATGTGCAAAAATGACCCACCAGAGGCAAAGGGAGCTGAAAAGCTGAAGCTCACCAGTATGATTTGCCACCTTTGTTTTGAAATGCTTCACCATAGCTGCACTGTGATTTGGGGAGCTCTTCTGTTATTGAAAGTCTATTTTTCAGTTCCTTACACAGAAAACAGATTGGACTTTGGATCCCAGAGGTCTGCCATCATGTTTAGGAGCAATGCACCTAAAGCACATTTACTGAGTGGTTCAGTACTCCTTGTGCAGGAGAACCAACAGGGCACTACTTCAGAAGAGTGAGATTCACAACTTGAAAACCCAACAGAGGGCAGTGGGCACAGAAATACCTCGATAGCTGATTTCACTCATGGAGCACCAAGTGAAGTGTGTGCTGAGCTCTCTGTAAGCCAGCTGTGATCTTGCTCCAGACCACTGCCATAAAAGAGACAACCAAAGAATTCACAGAGTTTATTCTTTAAAAAAGTTATTTAGGAAGCAAAATAATTTACTTCAATTCAAACCAACAGAGATGCATTTCTGAAAGCAGATAATTATATCAAGTTACAACAAGTTAGCCCTTGGATAAAATAAAAAAAGTCCAGATCTCAACAGTTGCCAGCTATCCTGGAGGCTGTCTAGGATTTAGGCTTGTGGAGTAATGAAGGACACAGAATTAGAATGTGATTCAAACCTTCATTAACCTCCCTCCCCCCACAGGTCCAAAGTTGCTTGAAATCCAGTTCTTTCTAAATCACTGAAGTGCACTCACAAGACACATCTACGTAAGCATTACCATCACTATTCAAGTCTTTCTGATGACACTAAGAACAAAAGCTGAGCAATGTTTGTGGTTGTTTTTAATCAGACCATGGAGCTGGGGCTCACATTAACAAGCCACAATGCTACACTTGAACAGCTGCTCCCAGTCAGCAGTAACAAATATTTAGTTCAGTTATTTGCACGGGTAGTTTTTGAACAAGGTTGTTTAGGGTCTGTTCTCCTTAGTATAACGAGGTTAAATGGGCACAGACACAGTGTGGTGCTGCTAAATCTACATGACAACATTTGGACTAAATGTACAAAATCACCACTATGAGGAGCTGCCTTGTGCAAAACCATCTGTGCTTATCTTCTAAACAAATGTTCCAAAGCTTCTTGGGGTTTGGTCCTCCTGCAGTGCAGTTTCCACCAAAGCCAGGGCAGTTTGGCTGACCATCCACATTCTGCTTGCTTTAAAGGAACAGCTGCGTTTTCTATCTGCCAACCACTGCAGTGAAGTCCTGGTTACAGAGGCGCATCACGCCCTGCTCCTTCCTGCCACACACATCCAACTCAACGCCACCAACAGACGTTAACTGAGCAAGCTGTAGAACGAGTGGCATCTTAAACTACAGGAAGCTCTAAGAGATCAGAGCACCTTGACTGAAAGGGCACATCTGGTGCAGCTACTGAGGCGGAGCGGCGCTCAAGAGTGGGATGGCCAGGTTTCCTTCTCACCTGGCTGGACCCTGTCATGGACTGCAGCTCACCAAGAGCACACACAGATCCAGGACACAAAACCTTTTCCACGGTCACCAAAACCTCTCTGCTAGAGTAGTAAATCTGCTCATGTGCTCCTCAAACACATCTTCCTTCATCCAAAGAGGTGCCACTGCATTACCAGAGAACTCCAGAAAGCGCTTCAGATATTCTGTTTAAAAATACTGCCTATATAAAGCCAAACCCATGAAGAGATGGCTCCTAAGATAGGACTTTTGCCTGCATGCATTATGCGGTGCATTCTGCTTTAGGTACTGACAGCAACCTTGACTGACTCAAACTACCCACATACAGGCGTGTCTGTATGCGTGTACACAACCAGAAACCAGGTACAACCATTCAGTTCATGCTCAGGATTGGGCACAAAATCTGATTTTGCAAAATCACTCTCTAGATTTGACCCCAAAACACAGATTGGAGCACCACCTGTACAAGTGAGCTCTGCAGCATCCTGAAAGTTGATGCAACTTCCTCTCTGGTTCCAAAAATGAAATGCACACCAACCAACCCTCACCAGGGCTCCTTCCTTTTTAAAGCTTTATCCAACCCAAGAGAAATGGAACACATCAAAGAGAAAGCAGACACAATTGCCAGCTCCTGTATTATTCTGAGGATTCACAACTTTTTGAGTTATGGCTAGTATGCTTTCAGAAAGCAGAGCGTGCCACACAAAGTAGAAAGTTATGACAAATCTCCCTACAAAATGTATTTTTAATTGGCAAATTTGGCCACTGTTCAAACACCAACTGTGAGATTTCCCACAGCCATAGGCAGCAGCACCCTGAGCTGCTCCTGTCTGCCAGGGAAGCAGCTCCACATTTCCCCAAATCATCCAGAAGCGTAACAGACCCACCACGAACTCATCATTCAAACACAATGCAAACTCCACACCGACAGCTTCCCAAAACACTGAATGTAGGTGACCAGATGTGGCTCCCAGCAGCTGTTTCTTTCCGTAATTCCATTAAGTGGACAACAGTACATCACAGCTTAAGGAGCAAAGTCAGCTCCTGCTGACACACCTCAAAGAATGCTGTCATGAGGAAATCTTCCTGCACCAAGTTAAGACAGACAAAAAGAACACATTAAGAAAAACCCACAGACTGCTTGCTGACCACACACAGCTCACAGTGATCGTGATTCTGTCCCATTTAACCTGCAGGCAAGAGATTGCCTTCAAATTAACTCGAGTCACAGGTGCTGCTATCCCATAACGCTTCCCACCACTCAGTAGGTCACTGGAAAACCATGTTTTATGTAAAAATATTTGTTAAATTCTTCTCATTTCCATCATTCAAGGATAAAATGAATTCTAAAACACTTATCTGGAGCATCACAGATAAAGTTACACAGATCAATCCTCCGCATCCCAAGAAGAAAATCAGGAGTACTATTAGTGGAGAAAAGAGCATTAAAAGCAACTGCTTATTTTCTCAATATTTCCTTATTTCTGATTTCAGTTTTGAAAATATAGAAACCTGACTGCAACAAACTGAAATTACGCCTCTTGTCGCGTCTACAGCTCGCACTGCTCCAGCAGATTGAACGCTCCCTCTGTTGGCTGAAGGCTCGTGATTCTCTCACCAGACTCACAGGGAATTCAGCTTTGCTATACGATGCTGTCTGACACCACAGAACAGAACCCAGCATCACTGGCACAAGAACTGAGAAGGCCAAGGTACATCAAGGAACCCCGGTGGGTTCTGGTCTCACCTGCACGTCCCAACCATACGGGGGGCAGTGCTGTGTTCTAGGAAGAAGTCACACAGCTCACACAGCACTTCAGTCCTACTTTGAGGCTGTTACAACAAACCCAGAACTGCTGTCAGTGTATCATACATCTCCAGAGCAGACATCACTGAACTCCCTTCCTCATTTTGCAAGGATGCTGCAATTAGAAGTCAGCTCAGTGCCTCTTCCACTCAGCCTGGGCACCTGAAGTCTGTGACAACCATTGACCCAATTATAGTCAACCTCAACTCCCAGGCTCCTCCCCTGATAAGGAAGGAGGCTCTGCAGAAAATAACTCAGAATAACTTGCAAGTTACAGACAGAGTTGAAGAACAGCTGCCCAAAGCAACCTCCAGTTTCTAAATCCATTATTGGTCCGTAAGAAATTGTCTATAAATATTGGCAGTTATGTTAAAATGAACAGGTCACTAATTTGGTCCAACCTGAAAGAGATCCAAATGCTGTAGAAAACCAAAACAGAACATACACAGTTCCACGCACGGAGGTGGGTGGAAGCATTCTGATGGATCAAGAACTGGCGTAGTTTACACTCCTCTCCCTAACTGAAGAGTCTCACAAACACCCGATCGATCTTCCAGACTACAAACTCCCATTTTAGCATCTTACCATGAAAAGAGATCACCCGCACAAAACTTGCCTGCTCAAGACAATGAGCACCCAAGAAATTCATCCTTGGGGTTTTCCTCAGCCCAAGGGAACAGCTCTCAACCTCCAACCTTCCGAGCAAACAGGCACTTAAGTTAGCGAAGATATCTCCTTTTTATTACAGAAAAATAAAGGATCAGTTAATCAGTGAAGTGATACTCCTGGCACAATGCAGATGTTGCAGATACACTGGGTGCACAGACAGCAGACATCAATCCGACTGGTGACAGAAACCTTTGTAATGGCAAAATTACTCCTGCCACTCCTCTGACAACACCGCAAATCTGAATCCAATGCAAAGGGGTCAAACGCCACTTCTAGCTTTTACTCTGGAGGTAAAGTGTGATCTTTTTCACAGCATTTAGTCTCTGTAATTCACTTTTCTTGTGACTGGTTTTCTTCTTGAACAAACCCAGACAGCACAGCTAGAAAAGAATCCCAGTACACCAAGAGATATGACTGCTCTGTGAGCTGAGCGAGGAGGTAGATACCAGAGATGTTTTCTTCAGATGGAGCACAGAAAAGGATCCTGTGCTAATTAATTGGTACCAAAAGTCTGGTCGCTGGCACCAAAATACTGCAGGGCATCAGCATGAGACACAATACAGTAGCATTGAGACTTGTCCAGCAGCTACATCTGAACCTGGCATCTGGAACAGAAAGATATCTCTAATTAGCTTCTTCACTAATTAGCTGTAGGTATGCAGTGCACAGTACAAGTCCTGGACCGGTCTCCAGGTAAACAGCTCAAGATAAGCTGTCAGAAAGGTCATCACTTCCCAGCAAATTCTGACTGCAGCACTGTGCACACTCCCCTTTCTGGCTCAGATGTTTCTTGTGCACAAGACAGAAATTACACCATCTTTAAATAGTTAAAAAGGAAAAAAGCACTGATTCCCAAAGGAAGGAGACACCAAGTAGATTGATACAGAAGAATCCCACTCTTACCAGTTCAGTCAAAATCCAGGCTACAGCCAAAAGGTGGCTGTCAAAAGAATTTCTTAACACATTTTCCTCAAGCTTTGCCATCTACTCACCAAAGGAAAAAAACAACAACTGTAGAAGTAATTAATTATTGGCTCCAAACCTCTGGGAATCAATGGGTTGTAAGAAAATTAACCTACAGCAGCTCATATTTCAGAGCTGTGCTTATCAACAGCTGAAAGACACACAAGACTTGAGGAAAAAAGTACAGCTCACCTTATCACATCACAATGCAAGACAACCCCATACAGCCTTGATTCCCGTCTTCATTGCTGTTGAGCTTTTTCATCCGGTACTGCCGAATCTCTCTCACCAGTGTGTAAAATGCATCTTCCACACCCTGAATGCAAATGATTCACATGAAGCATTCATCCCCAATCTCACAAGATCACGTGGATCCCGTGGCAAATATATATATATATTTTTATATTAAATCAAAAGCTGAAAATTTCAAATTGATTTAGGAGTGTTTATTGCTACAGCTAACAATAAAAGAACACAGGAGAGAGATAAACCATTCTTCATTTATTGTACAACCAAAGAACAGAGGCATCTTACCTGTCTCGTTTTAGCTGATGTCTCTATGAAAGGAATGCCATAACTTTTTGCTAATTCTTGAGCTTGTTTTGTGTCTACTGTCCTCGTGGGCAAATCACACTTATTCCCAACCAGCACCATCGGCACATCGTCTGAATCTTTCACTCTCTTGATTTGCTCTCTTAGAAATTAAAAATAAAGAAACATGAATTATTATCTGCAAATAACGGCTGTTTTATTTCAAAGAATAAAAATTTATATATATTGAAGCTGGACAGGACAGCAGGGGCTCTGATCTACAGTTGTACTTCTAATAACTCGGTACAGCCTTATCTTGAATACCACACACAACTCTGCTCTGTGCGTTTTGGCCCTCACCATATTCCCACACATTCTGTATGTCAGTTATTAACCCAGACAGCTGCCCCTCTTTCCCCTGACAAATAACACACAGGTGCAGAACAGCTTGAAAAACCTTTTGGAACAAAACAGATTTAATGCTTTCCTCTTATTTAGTCTTTGCTTTGGCTAACAAAAATACACAATGCCTTTTCCAGTCTTTTCAGAGCAAAGACTCAGACCGTACCTGTAAAGGTTAATATCAGCGAATGATTTACTGTTGTTAATGGCAAACACACACAGGAATCCTTCCCCAGTTCTCATGTACTGATCTCGCATAGCACTGTATTCTTCCTGTCCTGCAGTGTCCAGAATATCTAACAAGCACGTCTCTCCATCAATGACAACCTGCTTTCTGTACGAATCCTGCAGAAAACACAAACAAATCAAAGGCGATTCAGACAAGCTGCTGCTCCTTCCCACGCCTGACTGCGTTTGGAGGGGCTGTAATTCAGAGAACTTTTCTGTTCCCACGCCTCACACAATGAGGAATCCCCAAACCCATACCTATCAGACGCACACGGTCCCCGAGCCGTTACCCGAACCCTCCCCAAACTTTCTTTTCTCGCAGCTCGCAGCGCAGATCCCTGCGGTGACGCCGCTCCGGCATCAGCCCCGGGCTCACCTCGATGGTGGGGTCGTACTCGTCCACGAAGTGGTTCTGGATGAGCTGGATGGTCAACGCGCTCTTCCCGACGCCGCCAGCTCCCACCACCACCAGCTTGTATTCCGTCATCGCCCTCCCAGCGGCCCAACGCGGAGCGCGGAGCCGCCCGCCCCGGCCGGCCCCAGCCCCGCCACCCCGACTGACCGCTCCCGCACCGCGAACGCGGAACACCCTTCTGTAAAGCTTCCGGCTTCCGGTCCCGGCGCGTCGTCATCACTCAGCGCCGGAAGTGCATCCGCTGCGCCCGGACACGTGACCGCAGCAGCTGCCAGCTGACCGATGGAGGGGGGGGGCGGCGCCCAACAAGAGACACGGGCGAGGAGAGAGGAGTTGTTCAAAATCAGTAAAACTTTATTCTATTTCCATTCTTTGCCATTAACAGAAAAAATTGGAGAAAGCAATGTTTGTTTTACAAAGATAATGCATCTCCCAGAGAAGAAAACCCTAAATTGAGAATAGAGGTAACATGAAAACAAAACAAAAAAAAAAAACCACAGTACTGCCCTCTATTCAAAGAAAGGAACTCCTGATCTTTTTTGGTAAAGTAATACTTAGACCAATCATTCAGTTTTCTTGCTTGATAAAGTGTGACTGGGGAAACGGGGGAAGAGGATGGGAGGTGGGGAGGGAAGGGGGAGGGAAGCACACAGACATCAACTATTTCACCTTGATGAAAGTTTCAATACAGCTATGGAAAGCCTAAGTATTTATTCTTTTACAGTACACTGGGTGCCGGCTGCAAAGAAAAAAAAAATGGATTCACTTCAGGCACAATTTCTTTCTTTGTAAATTTAAATCAGTAAAAGAAACTGGGTTTAGAAGCTGCAGTGTTCTAAGCAGCAGCAAACTTGTGCATTGTTTTAAATATATTTAAATTACCACACTGATGGCACACCTCAGCCTTATGAAATTCTGCACTGCAGGCATTTCAGAACACTACAAAAAATGTCTACCCCAGAAAGAGACTTTCACTGAGCTCTAACACAACTTCGCTGGCTAAAGGATTCAAAATTAAATGAAATATGAAAACAAAGTAACATCTAGCCATCATCTTAAGTTATCTGAATGTTCATACAGGTTTTCTATCAAACTGAACTTAGTCTCCACCCTCCTATGGTCCTCAGAATTTGAGCAGAGTGAGCAGAAGTGAGCTTTCCACATCCACTTCGAAGGAAAGACGTAACGCAACTGAATACTAAGGCATAGTAAAATACCTTGGCCAAGGTAACAAAGAAAGCATAGGTAAATGTAGTGCAGAATTCCATAAGGTCTACCAGAGTAGAGCTGTCTATAATGTTTACTCACATAGGCAATGTAGATTTGCAGTTACCAGTTGCGTTAAATGCACCATTCAAAACAAGCTTCTAAAATGTGATACTATAAGGCGCCACCTGAAGTTCTCCAGAATGCAACTGTGCATAATTTTAAAATGGTTTCATAAATTTATTTTAAACATAACATGAGAAGGTGTTAAAACTGGTGTAATAGCTTCTTAAAATTTGGAAGGGATGAATAGGGAGATATTCAGTACCCTTCATCAGCCCCCACCGCTTTTCATCCTTCAGGCATTGGCTTTGTTGATCAGTCTATAACACCAGCTTGACGGATCTTTCTCTCTGCACCAAATCCCTGCAAGGAAAAAAACAAATCTTTTAGGTCTGGCATCGTGCTTTAAAGCAGGCTTGTTTTGATCGTACCGTGTACAACATCAGCACGTGGCTAATTCACCATACTTGGCTTCAGAACCAGAGCAAGCCACAGAACAAGTTGTGGGGGTTGCTCTTCTGAAACTATAGCATGCTTCAGCTGCCCGAACAGCTGACTGAAGTAGTATAATCTCACACAGCAGGAGACTGCTATAAGGCAGTTGACATGTTTCAAACAGTTTTGACTTTCAACAGTAGAAACAAGTTAAACCACAAGCTGGTCATCTTGCAAGCCTGCCCTGTAGGTCACACACCTTTGAGTTATCCGGTCCCCTGGGCTGACGAAGAACTGTTAGACGAGGAGCATTGGCATCATCCAGATTAATGTTCTTTAAACGATTAACAAGTCTATCTGGACGTGGAGCAGCAACAGCCTTAGCGCCTTCACTGTAAGAAAGTCAATCACACAGAATCCTCATGACTTCCCAAAGATGTGCAAGCTACCAAATACAGTCACTTTCCCCATTAAGGCATCAGCACAGCCTGCTTTGTTTGTAGGCAGACCTTCTGGATGACAGTACGTCTGCTTCAAAACCATTGTTTGAACAACCACTGGATGCTGAAACAGCAGTAGATCAGAACAATATTCTTAGAAGGAGTATAAAGCTGCCACAGTCAGTATTAATACATGCATGACAGCATTCCCTCCATTTCTGTTGCCTTTAACTGAAACAATGTAAGTCTTGTAATTTGCCAGTACACTGCAGCACAGTAAGATCTCTGAAGACAGTTTTGAGAAAAGAACTGAACACTGCAATAAAACATTAACAAGATACCTTAAAAATACACACTTTAATTAACACAATTTAGAAGTCATTCAAAAGCAAAACGTGCCTATCCACCCTAGAAACAGCATCAAAGAAGACTAACATGCTTGTTTCTAAACAGGTAAATCACCAGACAGAACTACATAAAGAATTCAATTGCTTTTATCACTCGTTAATTTCTGCATAAAGACTATTTAATTACTTGTCTTTTTTTTTTTTTTTTTTTTTTAAATCCATTCTTAAGCAAAGCTGGACTCTCCTGCTGCACTGCAGGCCCTACAAGTGCTGGCACATCTCAAAGGAGAGGCTCTCACTGAAGCCAACCACAATTCAGAGCTCCAGTTGTAGGAACAGCTAGCTCAGTTTGAAAGCACTCTGTGCTCCATTGCTGATGAACTCTGCCAGATTAAACCAGTGATTGGAAATCCTCACCAGACACGCCACACGTTACAGGCACTGCATTTCCCTGTGCGCTGGTTCAGAATTACTGAGAACTCCACTTCATCCCCAGCTTGTAGTTCCACACCATCCTGTACTTCTTTGACATGGAAGAAGAGCTTTTTGCTGTCACCCACTTCATAGTTAATGAAACCAAACTGAAAACCAAAACATTATATAGTTATTTATTTCCCCTTAACCTAAGCAGGTACAATTATATAGTCATTCTATTACAAATAAACTACAACAGAATACAGTATTTCTACAAGTCTAGCCACTCCCCATGGGTTTCTAAAGGCACATTTAAACCCTGAGGCCTATAAGCAAGCTCTGAAAACTGCAAAAATCCTTTATTAAAGCAAGCTGCCAAAGCTTTATTCAACTAAAATATGCAATGCTGTACATTCTTTTCTAAACTCCACCTTTAAAATTACCCAACAGAAACAATCTCTTTTCTCTCTCAATTATTAGTGGCAGATTGAGAAGCCAGTTATTTTGATTTACTGCTTTACTGGTGCTGTGCCAAGGAAGGCTCTCATCAGGTATGAGGAAAAGTCTTCACCAGATAGTGATGGTGCACTGGAACAGGCAGTAGGAGCTCACCTTCACTAAAGCCACTCTACACAAGCCTGCATAAACCAGTCCTTGGGTTATGTAAGCCTAGTTCTTATTTGTTTACAATAAGAGTTTCTGCAACAGTTTGCTTCATAACAGACATTCTGCATCCAAAGCAGGTCCTGACCTTCTCTATGCCATCTCCAACAATTTCCCATTAGCAGCATTTGCTCACCTGGTCTTTCACACATTCCACAGTGGCTCTGCGGAACGGTGTGATGTTGACAGCCATTGTCTGCCCATTCTGACCAAGAACACACAGCTGGAACTTTACTGTCTCTCCCTTCTGCAGACAGTCACCTTTGTTTGCCATTCCAACAATTCCAAACGGATAGAATTCTCCTTTCATTTCACCTACAGAAGAGAACACACCAGATAAGATTAAGCCTTTTTGTTCTTGAGGGCATTTAGAATTTATATCTGGTATTTACTTCTATTGTCAGCTTACTACTGTGAATACAATCCTCATCACCCCTATTATCATGCAGCTTATTGCATTTCTATGCTTCCTGCGTGCCAGCAAAGAGCACTTACAGATTTACCTCAGATGAAGACTGTTTATTACAGTTATTAAAGCAAGCTTGAGGTAAAAGCACCAGGTCTTACCATCCTCCATGACTTCAATCATGCCCTGGTATTCAGTCTGTGTTGGATCTACGCTCCGCAAAGGACGAATTACTTTACCAGAGTAAACAGTTGGATCAGCTTCTTCAGTGATACCATTCACTGAAAAGAAAGAGACAGTGCAAGAATCAGGAAGTTCTTGTCATACTTCTTCTTTTCTGAAGGACTGACCAATTCACGTTCACAGTCTGCACTGCAACACGTTAATACAGCACATACAGAACTGGAACAGCTTTATATGTTCCCCTAGAGTTCCCCCAGAACTGGAACAGCTCTACCTCAGAAGCACATGGCAATAGCTTTTCTAATCACCACCACTGTTCCACTGCAGAAGGAGGAGGATACTAATTCCTCATGAAATTAGAGGCCATACAACTTGAAAAAGCACACTGAAGGATCTTGCTTCTCTACTGCTGTATTTCCAACTCCCTTTCATCATGCAAATTGGATAAGTATACATTTTGCATCCCCAAAATCCTTAATATCCACATCTGCAATTCCTACTGCAATTTTTTTTCCCCTCTAAGAAACAGCACAACTCCTAGAATTACTAGTGGCAAACTCATCCAAACTGGGGGGTTTTCTTCTATCCCTCCAACTAAAGAGTAGAGGCAAAGGTAAAGGAAGAGTTGCTTCTGCAAACAGTGCTCTTGCTCTGCACTTCCCTTTTAGTTAACACAGGAAACAGGCTTCAGGAAATTCAATGACATTAGTGCTTAGCAGACTTGACTACTGACCATCACATTAAGCATCTTCCTCTTGCTTTAAACTCCAACTGTCATCAGAACTACCAATTTAACCACCAGCATCTGTCAAGACCCTTTAAAGAAGAAATTACCAGGTACAGTCTTACCTGCATGCGTTTTGTTCACCTTTTCTGCACTAACTTTGTTTCCTTTGCCTTTCGACAAGCTGTATTCAACTGTGTCTCCAAGTTCCAGGCTATCAATATCACCACAGTACTCACTACAGGAAGAGAATCACATGCAAATTTCTTTCAGTTTCGTGACAACAGTAATGCTCATCCAACATTTACACAGGTTGATTCAGAACACATTTAACTGGTTCAGCATCTCACATTTCCAAGGAATTCAGGAAAGCAAAACTTTTTAAATATACAATTCAGAAACTGCATTTCTTAGCCTGAGATTCAGAAGCAGAGATCACAGAGAACGCTGACTAACAGAAAAGCCTGAGCTCAGCAGAGGTCATAAATGGAAGTTCAGACCCCAAAGCACGTGAACGTGTGAAGCAACAAACACTCATTCCTACAAAATGAGTGGAACTGTCACTCACCTGTAGTGGAAGAAGATCTCCTTATCATGATTGGCTGTTTCAATAAACCCAAAGTTATCCTTCAGGGCTGCCACGTATCCCAAAAGTCTCTTGGAAGTGTAATTGCGTCCAAGCATTCTGACAGAAACTGCTGTTTGCAGACCAGTTCTCTTCACTTCACAAACACTGAACTCAACCTGTAGAAGAGGTACGTGATGAATACTCCAGACAGGAAAAAAGCACAACCACCAAAAGCAATAAACAACAACCCAAACAAAGCTGCACTGCTGTAATCAACACCTAGGCTCTGCTGGAAAGGCATCTCCTCTCCCAAAACCATCTGTCAATTGCTGACATGTAGGACATCCAAAGAGTGGCAGAATCACAGCTGTAACACCTGGCAAGTGAGCCTCCAGCACTCTGCTTCTTCTACCTGTCAAATAGATTCTCTCTTACCTTTATGATTGACCTCTGCACTGTACATTAGCAGCTGCCCACTGAGACTATGCAGCTGGTTTGGCTTGCTCATTTTAGGTTTTTAATAACAATAATCACAGCATTCATAGCACAGCACCTGAACACCAACAGGTTTTAGGCTGCTATTCCAGATCTCTCAACTCTTTCCCCAGCATTATCTCTAAATATTTCACTCATAAGTGGATGTTCTCACTCTTCAACATCCACCTTGATGTCCTTATGTTAATCTCTCTCCCCTCAAGTATTCACAAGTGGAGTTGCCCACTGTCCTTATAAGCAAGTATAAGAATTCCTTTAATTAAAACAGTTTGCATAACAAAATAGTATTTTTATGTGTGGTATCAGGTTTCAAGATGTCTCTTAGTTACACAGAAAATAAAGCTACAAACTTAAGAGAAAACAAAGAAATAGGTGACTATGTAGATGCCTTGTTCTTCACTTGAAAAGGAAAACAAATCCAGAAACAAGGCAAAGAGAAGCTGATATCTTAAAAAAAAAAAAAAAAAAAAAAAAAAGTATTTCCCAATGGTATACTTAGTTGTATTGCCTTATCTCCTATCTGGGGATTAGCAGATCCTTCCACATCCTTGGCCTGGTAAGGAATGGTCAGTTTCACTCCACAGTCATCATAAACAATTATTCCATCTTCAGCTTCCTAGAGAAGGAAAAAAAAAAAAAAAAAAAAAAGACAGTCAGGTGTTTCATTTGTTTGCAAGCAAGCTTACTATAAACAATGCAAGCACTGAACATTTACTTGTTCTGCAACAACTGCAAAGTATCTGGTGAAAACAGACCAATACACACTAAGATGATCAAAAGACACAAGCTTTAAATGACAAACTGTAGCTTTTACCAGGCAGTGGTACTTTATTTCCTCTAACAATACTGTTTCCATTATTTACTGAAAGTTTATTCTATCCTAGTTTTAAGCAGCATGACGAAACAGAGCCTTAGGTTTCAACCAATTCCAGCACCTTAGCAAAAGGTTCTTCACCAACAGGGCAGTCAGGCCCTGGAAATGTCTCCCCATGGTAGCAGACATGGCTCCAAGCTGCCAGAGCTCAAGAAGCATTTGGACCATGCCCTCAGACACAGAGTTTGGACTTCAGGTGATCTGTGTGGAGCCAGGAGTTGGACTCAATGATCCTTCTGGTTCCCTCCCAACTCAGGCTGTTCTATGGTTCTACCTGCCACAGTAGGAGGTAGAATCTTCCCAAGCTCTTGGAAGTTATCCTCAATAGAAACATAGAATCACAGAATTGTAGGGGTTGGAAGGGACCTCCAGAGATCATCGAGTCCAACCCCCCTGCCAGAGCAGGCTCCCTACACCAGGTCACACAAGTAGGCATCCAAGCAGGTCTTGAACATCTCCAGAGGAGACTCCACCACCTCCCTGGGCAGCCTGTTCCAGTGAACACCACTAAGAGTGCTTCTGTTCTACTGTTTCAACTAAGTGAGCCCTCACTGAGTATTGTAATTAGCAATCCAACACAGTCCATATTTATAGAAGATAAAGAGTGCTTCAGAATGTTGAATTATAGACTTCAAAGCAGTAGTCTCTGCAAAGCAACAACACAATATAGTTACTTGTACTTGTGTACTACCTTCTCTTTGCCTTTATTTGGGCTAGTGGCTTTGGCTGGAGTGGCTTCTTTGTCTATAGTGCCCACAAAACGGTGATCTGATTGGGTGTGGAAAGAAACTGTGCCTTTTGGGAGTTTTTTAATCCTTATAGCATGATTTCTTTGGGCAGACAGCATATCCTGAAAAATCAGATCAGTGTGATTTTAGACAGACTGCATATAAATGCTTTTGTGAAATCCTCGTTTTCAAAGGAATTGTACCACTCACAGGAACCACAGTAAACTCTACTTCATCAGAAATATGGAGTTGGTTTCCATCCATAATTTCACTGAAGTGAAAGAACATGCGAGCATCCCTGTCAACACACTTAATGAAGCCAAAGCCATCTCTCATTGCAGCAATCACTCCCTGTAAACAGAAGAACAGTTACAGTTTTACTTTGTGAACATCTGTAGAAAGACAACGATGGAGCATCTAATAATCTGAACACAAACCTCAAATTCTAAAAAGAAAAAATAATAACAAAAATACTTCTCAATAAGCTTCCTTGCAAACGGTGGAGCCAATGGTTACAGTCAATCTTAAATGCAAGCAAATCCTACTTACCTAATTTTTTTCTACTTGCTCCCTGATTCATAAGTAGTAAAAAGTGAAGATGAATTTAAGCCACAAAAGAACTAAGAAAAGCCAAAGAACTGGAAGTTGCTGCTATACACACACACAGGTTAGATTTTTTTCCAGCACTTTACCAGAACAAAAGATGTTCTTTCATAATAAGCACAACTATCTCAGTCACTGTGACCCATTCACCAAGCATAGAAGCTTCACTGCACATGACAGAATTCAGCTCTTTATCATCCTTCTGTTTGATCCTCAGGCAGAGATTATACAAAGATCAATTCGAACAGAATTTCAACAGTCCTGTATGTAGTTAGCATGCATGCTCAATGAATCTGGTCCTCCTAAAGTAAAAGATGGCAGTTGAAGATCAAGATTCAAAAGCTGTACCTAGTTACCTCCTCTGATTCTTACGACTTTTCGTTGCCTGAACCAGAGCACCATTAGGTTCTTTCAGTTTTCCTAAGATGAGTTTTTAATTTCTTCATGCTGCATGACTGCTATGTCTGCTATTACCAAAGAGCAACCCACTCCAAGAGATACAACATATTTGCTTTCCTAGGATGATTTAATTCCCCGAGTAGAAAAAGTGCACAGCATTAATTCAGTTTTCTGCCATTCAGGCACATTTGCACATTTACTGAAGATCTGACTTCAGACACGTCAGCAGACACCAGCAATTTCTATATTGTTTCAGAAACTGTTTTTCACCTTAATTTCCTCTCCTCAACAAGAAAAACTATTAAAAATAGATACTTACCATTTCCCTAGTTTCATTAGTAAACTGGAAAGTATTGGGGAGAACCTCAATATTGGTGGCTCGTTCCAGTTTGTCACGTCTGTCTGTCGAAATATTGAATCGAACGTGGTCACTTTCCAGCAAAGTCACCTTGGATTTTGTATCTTTGTCTCCAAATGGAAGTTCTTTAGGAATCACAAAATCAACTTTGATGCGGCCAGGTAATGGATCATTCTACAAGACAGAAAAATGCAACAGAAGTCAGTACATCTACAAGTCTCAGCACTGAGCATTTGGGTTAGGAAGGCACCATGTGGTTAGGAAGGCTCGAGTGACTGCTCCCAGATTACACTGCCATGACTACAATTTCACTTAGTTTTTACTTTACCTGTCCAATGCACTGAATTGCCAACAAAACTAAAAATTAATGTTGAGAATGAAGTTCATATCCATACTTACCCTACTTCTTACTGTTGAGTGTTCAAACACATAAAAAACATTCCCCTATAGTCTCCAAAATCCCAACCAGCAAAACAAAAAAACAAGGATGCAGAGTAGCCTGAACACTTTAGAGAAGTTTTTGTGTACATCCTCTAAGCCAAACGTTAAGGGCCACACAACTCTTCTTCACAACCAGATTAACTGCCAATGCTCACAGAAGCCCATAAAGCAAGCTGTGTTTTTGCCTTAACAGTCTTCTTTGTTGTTGTTTTTTGTTTGTTTGAAGACAGCATCTTTAACACCCCCTGTTGTTCAATTGGAAGTACTTCAAAGTGTAAAGATACACTTCACAAAGCACCACTATTGTGTATTACCCTATTTCCTGGACCTTTAAATTTTAGTAAAAAAAAAACCTGCTTCCTGTGACTGCTGTCAATGGTTGGCACAAGTTAAGCAGTCCAAACTTCCTCTCCTACTCTGCAGCCATCTCTGATGCAATGCCTAACAGCAGACTTCCACAGAGAAAGGAGAACATTTGTACTCTGACTGGAAGTCAATGCAGTATTCCCAATTCAATGCAATTCCCTTAAATTTAATACTGAAACACACCTGGTTTTTGCTGGGTACTTTTGGAATTACTTTGGTTACAGTTCCTTCAAAGTGTTCTATGCTGATGTCTTCAAAGATGACAGTTCCTTGAGGCAGCAGTCTTACATCTGTTGCAACTTCTTTACCCTAAAAGCACAAAAATCAGTCAAACAGCCCTGAAGAAGGGATAAAAACAATAAGATCATTTTCCTATTAACCCTGCTTCCCCCCACCATCCCCCACCCCCCTTTTTTTTTTTTTAAGTGGATTTGAATAAACAGGCAGCTGTCCAGGATCTTGTCTTCAATTTTTACTGGAGTTCATCTTACATTTCTGTCTTTGATTGTAAACTCCACATCATCACCAGGCTGTAAGGCTTCTAGGTCACCTTTAAATTCACTGTAGTGAAAGAATATCTCCTTCACGACATCACCCCTCTCAATAAATCCAAAGGCTTCCTAAGAACAGAAGAAAGCATTCAGTAGATTGCCTGATCTCTTCATGTATTATTAACAAAACATTTTACACATTCTAACAATAAGACTCCACCACTTCAGTACAGCAACCTTGAGTGTATTCAGCTCACACTACAGCAAATGCATTACAGGAAACAATTAAACTTTCCTGTTTTCAAGGAGTGTGTGTACTCAAGATTAGCTGTTTACACTGTTTGAGCTAGTTTGCATTCACACTTCCAAGATCTTAATAGCTCTTAACGCACTCAATTTACTATTTAGAGAACTTGACAGGAAAGCATTCCATCTTTTAATAGTATTTTGAAGTTGAAACATCACTTACTTTCATGGCACAGACTACTCCTTGACAACGGGCTTGTTTCTTTTTTAATAGCATAATGTTACGAGCACTTACAGCACCAGTACTAAAGGGAAGAAAAAGAACAAAGCTGAAATGGCTGAAAACCAGAGGCAATGTTAAGATTATATTTCATAATGTCATTTCAGTTCTTGGAAAAGGCACGGAGTGCTGCCCGACTACTAAAAGAGAAAGCATGAGATCAGAAACACGGCATCAACTTACTGTTTATTTGTATCAATTACAAAGTTTATTTTATCTCCTGTTTCCAGCTGAATATTTCCTTCAACATCTTCTGGAGTGTAAGTCAGGTAAAATACTTCCTGTAAATTAACAGTGACTAATATTATTCCTCTTGTCAATTCAAAGGATGATTAGCACATTTTTGTTTAGAAGGAACAACTGGTTTTATATCAATGGATTTAGTGAGAAAACTGAAAATGATCAAACACGGCATGCAAAAACATTCTTTCTTCCATTGGGCTGTTTTTAAAATTTGGGCTGAGTCTGTAGAAAGCAACTTAATTGAGAGGTTTGTAGGTGGCCATCTTGAAATGCCAACTTCTAAACTTTCCATGTTCAAAATAAGGATAGGTGAACGTTACACAATCCAGCTTCTTTAAGTTTTAAAACAGAAAAACAACTGTTTGGCTCTACACTGAGTTCCCCATAGAGACAGGTGGGCAAGCGAGCTGTAAAATTAACATCTGCTTGTAGCAATTGCTTAAGTATGTTTGGTTTTGGGTTTTTTTTTTTGCTAAGAACTACAGTTCTTAGTGTCAGTTGTCCACATTCAAGCATGTGTTGTTTTTTTTTCTGCTCACAGACCACAATTATAGATCAGTCAAGAGTTCAAATAAAATACATAAGCTTTACCCCATTACGTTCGTAGCATACACTCCCTGTTGGACTCTGACCCGGGGCAGCTGGAGATTTACTCTCTAAATTGTGAGGAACAGCACACACAACCTACCAGCCAAAAAAAAAAAAAAAGAAAAAATCCATGGCGAGTCATTCCAGGAGATGCAGCGTAGAAAGCAAAACGAATCTCAATATCCTCTACTGTACACCTGGGGATTAACTTCTAGTTTAAACCACCAGGGAATGTCATGCTGTAACATTTCAATCTTATGGAGCATCTGTTGCCTTGAAGGGTTGCTTGGAGCAAAGAGCTCACAACAGAAACTCTAAATTTCTACTAGAATAACAAAAAAAGATTTCAGTGTAACTGAATTCTGTATGTAGTTAGCATGCATGCTCAATGAATCTGGTCCTCCTAAAGTAAAAGATGGCAGTTGAATGCATAGAAAACAGACATCATAGCCACTGACTTGTCCATTTATTCGTTCTTCAGGTAATATTTCTGGTTTGATCTTCACTAATTTAACAGCAATGGGTTTTCCAGTTCGGCGATCAGAAGACACTTCAAATTCAACATCATCTACAAAACAGACACGACAGTGACATCACAGACTGCAATTTTTAAACATTACTAATTGGTTCAGTCTGACAGTTCACTGCTCATACCTAAACTCAACCAAGTAAAGCCTCTTTTCCCTAGGAAGGATGCACCATGTGCAGTTGCCCTGCTGTACTTCCCCCATTCTTCCCTGTGCTCACTTAGCAGCCAACCTCACACTGTAGGAGCTCAGATTATGTAAAACTGCTACTGAACAGTCTATAAACTTCATTACTACAAACTACTAGCAGCACCCCTACTCTGCAAGACAAACATCTTCCAACTAATTCTCAAAAAAACCCAAAAGCTAAGTACATGAGGCACTTCCAGTCTAAACGCTTGTTTCCACCTTAGTTTTGCAGCTTGGCCTTCACACTGTACACCTTTATCAGAACAGCCACATTTGCATTAAAACATGCTGAAGTAAAAACCAAAACTCTCATCGGGAGTGGCAGATGATGAATTCAGTTGATATTTTAACTCATTCATAGCAACAGAACGCATCCGTTCATGCCACAAGATAAAGTGATTTCCTATGGAAAATAAAAAAGACTTGTTCTCATTTGGTAGAGAAATTCCAACAGCTGTCTAATTACCTCCTACTTTGAGCTCCTGTAAGTTGCCATTATACTGTGAGCAGTGGAAGAACAGTCTAGCCTGCCGTTCTGAGCACTGAATGAATCCATACGAAGTCAACAGTTTCTCTATAACGCCAGTCTCGCGCAGCGCGGCCGAAGTACCATTGGGGTACCCGTTGTGTCCATTGTTGTGGAGAAGGTTTGGATCAAAGCTCATCTATTCAAAGGAAAACAGCAGAAAATAAACCAAACAGTACTCACATCTCCTTTCACTACATAAATATAACAACAGACAAAGAGCTTATGGAGCTGATGGTAACAAATCCTGACAGTTTTTTTAAATAGAGTAAAAAAAGTGCTCAAGTTGTCTAGGTCTTGGAAAACAATCCTTACAACTCAGACTGGCAACGTATTGCATGTTGGTTCTTGTCACCATCACATACAACCCTCACCTTTTGAAGAAGGCAGTCCGTAGTACAACCAAAGAAAGGAAGAGGCCCTCGTGGGAAGGCTGACATGTTTTGATTTTAAGCCATCTTAGAGTTCAAAACATTTTTGGAAATTAAACCAGCCCTGCAGGTAAAATGACTGGGGGAAGGGAATGTGATGTATTATTAAACTCATTTGCTGAATAACAGGTTGATGGTTTTGCCTATTACGAAAGCTCCAATCAGTGCTACACATGCTTTTTGTGAGTCATGGACAAAATCATCTCTTCACATCTCCAGTGTAAGCTAAGCACACACACACACACAATCACTCCCTGATAACAGGGAGCATAAATAACAGCTTACTAACAAAATCTACCTCAAACCAAGTTCAGAATGGCCAAGGCTCAGGGTTACAAAACAACACTGCTAACTCTTGCTCAAACCACTACTGATCAGAGCTGACCACAGATCAGCTAAAGCCTGACAGCTGAAGTTCAAGGAGGGATGCACTTCTCAGGGTGACACTAACATCTACTGTAGAAAGAAAGGCAGGGAATGATGCTATCAGCACTCTTTCTAGATGTTGCCACGTTGCTACAGCTGTTCAAACAAAGTAATAGAGCACAACAAAAAGCTACATATAAATAAATTCAGGAAAAAAATTAAAAATCAACTTCTGCAAAGTGATAGATACAGAAAAATGGAAGCATTGTCATGAAGCTTTTCCCTAAGAACCAGCTAGCAGAACAGTTCTTTAAGAACCTTCTAGGAATAGACTAATTAATTAATGCATGAACAAGACTTGCTCAGACCTGAAATATAATGAGTACACGCTGAACCACAACTAGCTGTGGTGCTGACTACCAACAGTTTACTCACAATAGCTGACCCATCAATTAACAAACCTTGGAACTCCAGTACTTGGAAATAAAAAAAACAAACTGTACTAAAAGACTTAAAGAAAACGGAACAGAGATTGCAAACCAGTGACAATAGTGTAAACTTTGGAAATAAAAAGGGACTGTAATCACAACACTGCTACTAAAATAAACACGAAACTGTAACATAGGTATCACCAATTCATCACACTACCATCAAACCAACAGAATAGCCAAAAAAACCAACATCACAAAAAACACAGCCTCCTGTTGTTGTTTGCAGCTAAGTTTGGAATGCTGTAACTACACAGCACACGCACAAACCTCGCAGTGATATTCAAATATTGCACTTTCAGTAGTATTCGCCGATTCTTCTGCTTCAGTACGAAGTTTCAAAGGATGAAGACTGCTATTGACACAGAGAGAGAAAAGAAAGATAGAAAGAAAAAAAAAAAAAAGAGAAAGAGAGAGCACACTAATAAAGAATACAAGCGCTGCTGCCCTGGGCAGTTTCAATACAGCACTGGAGAAAACAAAGACTACTAGCAGCGTTGGGACGTGCTCTTTTGAAGCTGTTGAGTAGGCACAAACTTCTGGTTTCAGATCAAGCCTTGTGTCTTCAGTGTAAGTTTCCTCTTCTTTGGTCTTGAGTTGTTGTTACGATGCGGTATATTCTTTTCCTGATCTGAACTTGAAGCAGCAGTTTCAGGTGGTAAATTCTGTTCTGTTTCACTTCATACTGGAAAGACAAAAACGAAAAGTTGTGCGCTGAAGTATAACTTTAACAGAAATTACACATCAGCCCTATGTGGGTGCAGATCCTCTACTTCGATACCATGGGTTTGATTCAAATTAGGGGAAGCTGGTTCATGCATTTATTTTGTATTCCCATTTTCAGTTCTGATTTCCCAAGAAACTCTACCTCCATACCAGCGATACACGATTTCTAATTTTAAACACTTCAGATGCAGTTACACATTCCAGGAAAGGTCCCAGTTTGTACCAACTAAAACAGCAACTTCATTTGGATGCAAGCTGATTTCACCAATGTAAGGAACCACTACTTCTCAATTTACGTTGAGCTCTGAATTTCCTTTAGTGAATTATGAAGACGGAACTGCAGACTTGGAAAAAAGGAAAAAACAAACTTATGTGACTACAAAGACACCCTCACACTTATTGCGGTGAAAACGCTGACTGCAGTTGGCCAATACTGAGAACAGTTCTGAACCCCCAAAGCTTACAAAGGATGCACTCAAACTCAACACCTGTTTTTCACTGAAGTACTTCAATGACATCCTCCAAGAAAACATCTTCCCATCACTCTTAGAACAACTCCGGGCTGAATAAGTCTTCTTGCAGTATTGCACATACGCAAAAACTAAATGAGGGCAGAAATCCATGCCCAAGTACAAACCAGCACCCAGAACAGGCTTGCAGTGAAGGACTCAAGTGCAAAAAAACTGAAATAAGTTAATGCAAAAATAAAAGACTCAGCACTGTTCTCACATATCTCCCCTCTAATATTCAAGCAACCTTTATCATAACCCCATCCAGGATAAGGTAAACATCCCTCAGTCAAGTTCAAGAGAAATGAAGCAGGCATGCACTGCAGCACAGGAACTGCACGGAGACACCTGGAATCTCATCATTAATATTCACACTTCTCCCTCATCTGATCAGACCAAAATCATCAGAACTCTTCCAGCACTACAACTTACATCACCTTTTGTAGCTTTCAGGGCATAGAGTGTATATCTACATATAACAATCAAAATATTTCTGTCTGCCCAAAGATAACTGAAGTAACTTTCATCAAGTAATGGCATGAACCATCAGCTTGCTCCCTAACAGCAGGTTGGACTCAATAAATCGTTTACTCTATTTCGGTCATTACAAATTGAAAAAAAAAGAAGAAAAAAAAAAGCAGGGATATCAAGCCTGCAGAAGTTAAGTAAAAAGCAGTGCATGTATACCTCAAATTCTTTACTTTTTAAATGCAGCTACTATAAATACTTCTCCAAATGGTAAACACTCTGAGCAGGTGCCCAGCCCCCACATCACACTGGGTTCTGAATTTGTGTATCTACAGCAGAATTGGTTTGTGCAAGGACAAGGAGGAGGCAGGGCTGGAGATGTGCTGCTCCTGAGCTCTTTCATTGTGGATTTTGCTAAATGACAGCAAGTTGCACAGCGCTGCTCACAGCCTGAAATGCATGCAGACTCACAGCAAAGGCTGCCAGATGACAGACACTTGCTTTGGTTCTCATTTTCTCCACAAGCACAGGTATGTAACCACAATAACATACCTTCATAGAAAGGCCTGGGTTGAAAAGGACCACAGTGATCATTGAGTTTCAATCCACTGCTGTGTGCAGGGTCGCCAACCAGCAGCCCAGGCTGCCCAGAGCCACATCCAGCCTGGCCTTGAATGCCTGCAGGGATGGGGCATCCACAGCCTCCTTGGGCAACCTGTGCCAGTGCCTCACCACCCTCTGAGTAAAAAATTCCTCCTAATATCCAACCTAAACCTCCCCTGTCTCATTTGAAGACCATTTCCCCTTGTCCTATCACTATCCACCCTCATAAATAGCCATTACCCCTCTTTCCCCCTCCTGTTTATATGTTCCCTTCAAGCACTGGAAGGTTGCAACGAGTTCTCCCAGACTTCTCCAAATAAAAATCACATTCCACAGACCTCAAGCACAGGCTAACTCTCTCTTAGGCACGACCAAACCTAATGAAGACAAAACATTGTATTTTTAGTACGCAGGCACAGCGCAGCCACCAGATATCACTGGGAAACAAACGTGCCCATCTGAGGATGCGTGACGTGTGAGGAGCGCCGCGTGCCACCTCCTGAACGCTGCAAACAATGCTGACAGCAGAGATACTGCTCTGATATTCACCAGATCGCCCACGGCACTCAGATATTTTAAGAAATAAAAACTCGAAGAAAATATCAGCGGTCATTTTCGTGCATTTAAGCAACAACCCAGAAGAAAAAAAAAAATAAAATGAGAACGGGACGGTCAAGCTAGAGCGAGTTCTGTCTGAAGGATGGAGAGCCGTGTTCCTAAGGGGGGATCTGACAGGGCTGGGACGCGCAGCGCCTAGGAGCTTCGGGAAAGGCCGCCGGGCGCCCCAAGATGGAGGCGGCGGAGCGGAGCCGAGGGGCGGCGCCGCCAGCGGGGGCTGCGGCGGCCCACGGCGTGACAGCGCGGGATCGAGCGGGGCCGGGCCGCCTCCGGGCCGAGGAAACGGCGGGCGGAGCGGAGGGCGGGAGGCAGGGAGAAAAGGAGGGGTCGCCCTGCCCGCACACAAAGGGGGGCGATGGCGGCCGCTCCCCCGCACACAAAGGGACGGAGCCCGGCTCTGCAGCGGGCGGGGCCGCGCGCGCGGCACGCCGGGAGCTACGCTCCGCCGCCCGTCCCCCGCGCCCGCCTCCGCGCCCGCCCCGCAGGCCCGTCCCCGGCAGCCCAAGCGCCAGGCGCCGCCCGGGGCTCGCCGGGACCCGTAGTCCCCCCTCGGCGCCGCCCCCGACCGGGCCGCGGCCCCCGACCTGCAGGTCCCGGCAGACCACGCGGCGGAGCGGGCGCGAGGCACGCCGGGAAGGCGAGTCCCGGCGCCGTCACGACCCCGCCCCGCAGCCCGGCGGGACCCGGCCCCGCGGTGGGGCGGCTGCCCGCGGGACGCCGGGAAACGTAGTGCGCGCGACGGCACGGCCCGACGGGCCCGAGGCCGCCAGCGCTTCATCCCCGGGGACGGCCGGCTCGCCCCGCCCCCACACGTCCGTCGCCCCACGTACGCGGCCGGGGGGAGGCCCCGGGCGGCTTCGCCCCGCCGAGACCGCCGCGACAGGAGACGGCCGGGCCGCGGGATCGAAGGCGGCCCTCCGCCTCTTTCGCCGCTTCCCATAGACCCCGGTTCCCCTTGAGCCGCGCGGGTGCCGTGCGTCGCAGCGCCGGGCGCCCTTCGCTCCCCACCCCGCCGTACTCACCCCAACAGCTCAGCGCCCCCGCTCCAGCGCCGCCATGAGCAGCACGGCACCGCACGTAGGAATAAATCCCGGCCTCTCGCGAGAACGTGGGGCGGAGCCGCGTCTGCGCCGTCGCCGTCTCCGGCGGCCGCATGGTGCGCATGCGCGCAGGCTGGCGGCCAACGGCACCGTCAGCACGGCGCATGCGTCGCAGCTGGCCGGCCTCCGCTTGGGACGGGCTGGGAGCTCCGCGACTGGGCGGGCGGGGAGAAGAGCTGACGGCGGCTTTGCCGGTCCGCCTCCCTGCCTTGCTGTACTCTGTGCTGGGCTGCGGCAGCTGCTAAGCGGGCAGCGTGGCTGCTTCCCCACCGAATAACATGGAGATGGTGGTGGTGCAGCTGAGCCAGTTCAGCTGACTGGATACTAGCGATAAATCAGCAACCCTCCTCCTTACAGGAACGTTAACCTGCACTTGGTAATTGAGGTAAAAACACACCACCACAACCATTTCAGAGAGCTCAAACACACCATTTTTGACTCAAGCAATAAAGTAAAATGAGAGCAAGATGCAGCAGCACAGTCTGAATTACTGCCATGCTTCACAGAACAGAATACAACTGAGAAAATGGTGCCTGTAGTTTTTTTTATTATTATTATTCCCTCTTAAAATATTTTAGGAAAGAATTTTGTACAATGTTCCTAAACAGAAACCCCCTTCTACCAACTAAACACTTTTCTCTGCATATTCCAAATTGTCTCATGATAAGATCTGCCTTCTGTATCTATCAAAATTCTTGCACAGATAAAAACAGCATAAAAAACATAATATTGACAATTGGATGTTTACTGTTACTGAAGTATTTTCCTGATCGTTGGCAAGAAAGACCGAAAAAAAAAACCCATTAAAATGCCACTGAAAGCATCACAATATTGATAAAATCCTGCTACACTGCAACTTCAATTTCAACCAATATAGGATTTTGGAATAACTAACATCTGTCACTAGACTTACCTGCAACGTGACATTAAAAACCTGTCCATGTGGTTGGTTTTGGTTTAGTTTGAGGCACACCTCACCCTTCCTGAAATTCAAAGTGGTGGGAGGCCAAAAAGCTTTGATCTGAAAGCACTGTATTCTCTGTAATAGAAACTACCTTGATGTGAGCACACTGCTTTCAGATCAGCATCCGTACACCTCAAAGCACAGGTAAAGAAAGAACAGGGCTGCCTACAGCAAAAAAAAAAAAAAAAAGCCTCATATCTGCAATAAAAACATGCTGATGTGTGAGGAAGGGTCATTCTCACTGGTCTTCTCTAAATCAAGGCAAACTATACTCCTGATGTAAGTTAGTAATTAAAGTGCTCTGTTGGCCATCTGATATTCTGGCTCTTAGCAGTTTTTCATGTATGAATGTTACCAAATACTGAGTGTTGGGTCTTCAAAGCAAAGCAAAAGCTCCAGGTGCCCACTCTGTGCAGACAAAGCAAGATGTGAACCTATCATTTATAATGTAGTTTTTGAATTATCTTATTCTTTCCAGCACATAAAACAACCAGAATCTGCATTACGTTTGCCAGATACTGATGAGGCAGTTTTAAGTGACATCTGCACAGTTGGAATTACTGACTAAAGCTTATAAAAAATAACATTCATGAGATAAACTGCCACAAAAGAGTATGCACCAAAAGTACTTTGTTGTTACACATTTGTACGCTGCAATTTATGACAGAGCAGCAATGCAAGCCTTTGTCATCAGGAGTGTGTGACTTCAGAATAACGAAGAAAACAGGTCACACATTTGGATAGGTAAAACAAACGTGAAACACCTGAAAGAACAAGTTACAGATCATCCCTGTTGGGTGGCTTCGTAACAGTCTCTGAAGTCAAGGTGTGGATATGTTGTGACCTAAGCCTCACTGTCACGCATATCTTCTCTCCTGACCTCAAAAGATTCTTTGCTGATTGACAATAGTTCACGTAGCTCTTTGTTTTCAAGCTGCATAAATAAATAAATAAATAAAATCAATATTTTGGCTGAAACAGAGATGAGCTAATCCACAAAATTACAGACCTTTAATTAAGTAGCCCCGTACCTTCATAGCCTAATAGAACTCTAATTTTATAACCCAAACATTAATGCAGTGTTACCAAGAGGTGAACCACATCATTTAAAGTACACCTTTTACTTCTGGCTTTATTATTACAATGACAGAAATACAACGAATTTGAAAATAAACAGAAAACATTCTTTGCCTCCCAACCTCACCCACCATCCCCATTTTTTATTGTTATTAAGTACCTGACACACACAATCAAACTCTAGAGCAAGTCCAGAGCTCCAAAAGCTTTATCTGTCCTTAACAATGATATGGGCTCTTACCTCCAGCTGAGCTAGTTTCTCCTGAACCTTAAAAAACTGATCCTCATCAACTTGTACAGCTTTTCTCATCACTTCACCCATCTCACATATTCTATCTATTTGACCTTCAATTTCCTGAAAGACATGGAAAAAAAACCACAGTTAATACATTCAGGCAAAAGCAGTAGCAATATATTCCTTATGAATCATTTACTTTCATCTCATTAATTCTGGACTACTTTCCTATTTTGAATTTTAATATTTTTCTCCCAACCACTCGCAATCCTCCCTGCTTATGCAACATTTTAAGATAGCATCATGTACCTTACTGTCCACTATCATCAGCCATCAGTGAAAACAGTGAGCAGAACAGTCAGTGCTGCACCTTCACACACATGGAAATCATTTCAAGTATGACAAGGACTAAGAGATCAGATTCCTGCTCAAGTGAATACAATTAGTATACGGCAATTTCTACACTGCCTTGCTAGAAAAGCTTGACTGGATTTATAAGAACATCTGACACACATGCAAGTAAAACTTTAACACTGAATAAAACAACAAACCAAAAACAAAACCACTGAACAACAAAGACGACTGGTATCTCCTGCATTAGTTTCCAACAGAGTCTGTCTAGAAATACTCCCAGTCCTTTGGTAGTTGCCTTTTTTTCTTTTTAAAGCTCAGAAATAAGTGTATAATTCACACAGAACTATTCCAACACGTAACACAACGTTAGTTCTTATCTGAAGAACATTCCATTTCCAAAATAACATTCGTAGGGAGGAACTCATGCATGTGAACACAAACATATCAGCCATTCACAAAGAGTTGTAAAACAAGGATTTAGAAGCCTCTGAAGCATTTATTACAACATAATATGATATCACAAGGCACTGTGGGAAATGTCACAGTTTTATGGGGTGTGGTTTCCTCTCAATAAATGCCCACAGTTACTCTGCTCTGCCTGTGGAAGACAGATGTGCCACCTTAGAAGAGAACCCAGTTTTGAATTCCAATATTGAGCGAACATGTAAGCAGATCAGAGTACCTAGAGAGCTGGAGGAACAAGTTTACATCATCTGAGAATGATGTGTCTGTCAAACAGAAAGATGGTTAAATAAGAATGTCAAATATCAAAAGATATTAAAAGGTGGTGTCTGTTCTCTGAAGTCGTGTGTGAAAGTATGAAAGAATTCATAAACTTAGTATGAAGTACAGAAGATTTTGCCTTAGCATTTCACAGAATCACAGAATTGTAGGGGTTGGAAGGGACCTCTAGAGATCATCGAGTCCAACCCCCCTGCAAAGCAGGTTCCCCACAGCAGGTCGCACAGGTCGGCATCCAGGTGAGACTTGAACATCTCCAGAGAAGGAGACAGTAGTCTTGGTATATCCCACCATGGTAGAAGAGGTTTCTCCAAAGTCTTTCCAGCTTTGTATTCCTGTGCCATTACAATGAAGCAAAAAACAGTGATAGGGAACGTTAGAAGTTCTGTCCAAATTATAAGTCTTCATCAATAAAGCAATCTGTGCATGTAAGCAAGCAATGGAAGACCCCTAATCTGCACAAAAGAGAGTTAAACAAAAAAACCCGCAAGATAGGAGATCTTGTTAGGTTGAGCCAGCCTGCTATGTTCTCATCACATAAACATGCATTATAAATGCATTACAAATGCATGTTTATGCAGTAAATACCCAACAATAACCTTTAATCACATACCCTACATTACTGCATTATCAGATATCTAAATGTAAACCAAGAGACAGTTATCAGCAGTCACTCCTTGGCCTCCTGAAGACACTCTATGTCACACACAGAGTTACACACATATGTTAGGCTGTTGTACTGCCTATCTGCATTTAAAAGTATTCGGAAGTGATCACTTATTAAGCCCTCAGAACACCTCAGCTTACAGGGATTTTGGAGGCTCTTTTCCCTTTGTTACAATTGCTCAACAGTAACAATAACACCTCTGATGTGGTCCTCTTCAGTGAACACAAAGCCATTCAGGGGGAAGTTCTTTCCTATGAGAGCAGTGAGGTGCTGGAACAGCTGCCCAGAGAGGCTGTAGATGCCCCATCCATCCCTGGAGGTGCTCAAGGCCAGGCTGGATGGGGCCCTGGGCCGCCTGGGCTGGTATGAAATGGGGAGGTTGGTGGCCCTGCGTGCAGCAGGGGGTTGGAGCTTCGTGATCCTTGAGGTCCCTTCCAACCTGGGCCATTCTGTGATTCTGTGATTCATTAAAGCTTAACCCAAGGAAAGTAACCCAATGCACACACAACAAGCCTTCACGTGGGCAACAAAAGGCTTGTGCTGGTCAGGATCCTCTATGACAACCATTACAACCCGGATGCTGTAAAAAGAATGCAGGGAAAAAATATACTAAAGGAACCAGAGCTTCAAAGAACACATCCTGGAGCACAGTAAGGCCATGAAAGGAGACCAGTAAGAGAGCAAGTTTCCTATTCCCCCTCCCGCTCCACCCCACCTTACCACAGAGTTGGCCTGATGAACTTTCAGGACCGGTTCCGCATCTTCACCTTTTCTCCCTTGCAACAGCTGCAACATCTGCTTTCTGTACTTGCTCATGATCAGCTCTAACGCATCCTGGTGCTCCTCCAGAGAGATCCACAGCGCTAAGGGACACGGAGCGCAGCACGGCGTTACCTCGGAGGCCGCCCGGCTGCCCTCAGCACCGCTCGGCGGCCCCACGCGACCCCCCGCCGCGCTGACAGCCGGCAGCCCGCTCGCACCGTTCCGATAACAGCCGCCCAGCGCAGCGCAGCGCAGCGCGGCCCCGGCCCCCCCCCTCCTCCCCCGGGCCCATCCCGGCCGGCTCACCGCGGTTCTCCTGCCGCAGGTCGCGGATCTGCGTGTTCTCCTGGCACAGCAACATGTGCGGCCGCAGCCGAGAGCCGTCCGCTCCATCCGCCGGGAGGCTCCGGCCCCGCCGAGAAGCGGCTGTGGGCGCCGCCGCCGCGCTGCCCTTCTCGACCGGCGCCGCGCCCGCCTCCCTCATAGCGGCCACGCGCTGATGCAGGACGGCGGACTGATCGATGAGCGACTCGGCTGCGGTGTCGTGCTCCTTCAGCCGCTCCAGAAGGGTCTTCGCGTCCGTGAGGATCTTCTCGATGGTGCAGGTCATGATGAGCGCAGGGAGGGCCGCGCTGCTCACTCCCGCGGCGGCCCCATGGCCGGCAGTGCGCGCCCCGGACCGCGCAGAGGCATTCCGAGCTACGAGCCGCGAACCACGAGCCGCACCGGGAGCTCCGCCGGCTTTTCCGGGCCGCGCTCCTCGCGCCTCAGCTGCGCATGCGTGGAGACCCGGAGCAGCCGCTGAGCCCGCGGCGCCGCCTGGCGGCCGCACTGACCACCACATCCCCGCGGGGTGGAGGGATGGAGGGATGGAGGGATGGAGGGATGGAGGGATGGAGGGATGGAGGGATGGAGGGATGGAGGGATGGAGGGATGGAGGGATGGAGGAATGGAGGGATGGAGGGATGGAGGGATGGAGGGATGGAGGGATGGAAGGATGGATGGATGGAGGAATGGAGGGATGGAGGGATGGAGGGATGGAGGGATGGAGGGAGGGATGGGTGGATGGATGGGTGGGTGGGTGGGAACGGGGCTCTTGTTAACGGTGTCATTTCAAAAGGAGAATACAACTCTCTTTTTTGCTTTTATGTTTGTTTGTTTTGAGGGGAGGCAAGCTCACGACGAAAATAGCAGCACAAAGAAACCTGCATCAGATCGATGTCTTAACCTGTGTGTTGTGATTTCCAAGGAACGGTTGGATTTTGAGTTGAGGGACATGGCTTAGTGAATACTATTGGTGATACGTGGATGGTTGGACTGGATGATCTTAAAGGTCTTTTCCAACCTTGGTGATTCCGTGATTCTGTGATTCTCCGTGCCGGCACTCCACACACGGACGGCTCTCAGAGCTCCCTGTTCTCACGCACGAGGTGGCTCTCAGAGCACGAGGGGACCACACGGAAAGCTGCAGCCCAGGAGCCGTTAATGGGCGCTGTTTGCAGAGGGCAGGTGGCCGTGACCCATGGGGGGTCCTGGTTATCTTTATTTAAAACTCCTTTAAGCAGTGTGTGATAAATTCTGGGCTGAGGTCTGTTGAGCTGACATCTTATCTGTATTCTTGTTTGTCCCTCAAACAGTAAACATCCTCTACTCAAGTTAAAATAACAAGCTCTGTAATGCTGACTTCGTTCTTTGTTATTTGCTAACTGAAACCACCGTTAGCAACCCGTGATGTCTCTGCTGCTTAACTTTTCGTTGTTTTTATTTGATAGTGCCAACTTTGTAAGCAGTATTTTCAGCAGTGTGTTAGCAGGATGTGCCTTTCAAGCTTAAATCTCCTTTGAGACAGACACACAACAAAAATGTAGTTGTCATCAGGATTCCTTTTTCATACCAGTTAAGTATCTTCTCACCTTTCACCCTATTCTAATTAAGGAAGGTCTGTGATATCAAATTGGCAACCTGTAGCATTCAAATTTTGTTTTACAGATGGAGGTACCCAGTAAGATCAATGTAGCACCAGCAATTGCAATTCATAGCACCTGTGAAGTCGGATAAAAGAACAAGCAGTCCTGTGCAGCAGGAATGATCTCAGCAGGAGTTGCACTTGGATTGTATGTCTGAATCTGTTTGTTCTGCTCTGTTCCTTGCATTTCTACTTCCCTTTGGACATGATTTAATGCTTACTTTTCCCTGGCTTCAGAGATAACATGCTAACCTTTTATACCAAGTGGAGACAAGGGAGAGACGCTGCTTTATCAGGCTTCCATTTCAGGATCCGTGCAGCCCTTCTGTGGGTTTCTGACCATCCAAAATAAAAATGCAGATTGAAAAGAAGATGGAGTCCTACTGTGCTTCCACTGCAGAGCTCTCAGTCTGGTGTCCTCGCTCAGGGACGCGGCTCGCTCTCTCTCCAGCCCATCTCTTGACACAGAATCATTTGTTCAACTTCCAGAGGACAGCAGAATGAGCTTAGTGTGGCGCCAGGGCCGATCCGATCCCAGTAGGACAAAACTCCTTGATTTAAATGCTAGGCATGCTTCTCACCAGAACTTCTATTCTGTAGCAACAGAGCTTAAACAAATCAACGGATGAGCGTTTTCAGAGTAGTGGTGTCTTATAATTCCTTTGGCTTATCACATCAGTTCTGTATAAACTGAAGAGAATGTATAAATTTGGCCTCTCAAGCATCTTAGTGTTTAACTTCAATTCGATTAAACACTTATGTATGTGTACAAAGTGAAAAATGAGGTTACAAGAGGTTAGTGCTTTAATGCTTTTAATAACTCTTAAGCACATGACTGTATTTTGTCAAACAGAACATGGATTTGTTCTAGCAGGAAAAATACATGCTAGATAGATATAAATTGAGGCTCTCCAAAACAGTAAAGCTGCTATAGAACCAAACCCACTTCTGGGCCATCTTGGTAAAATCACCAATAGCATTTCTGTGGTGGAATAAACACATAAGTGTTTCTGAGTATCTTTCATTAGGAGGCTCAAGCACGCAGTTGGAAAATCTGAAAGAACTCTGGGCAGACCAGAGAAGCAGAGGAAGGGCAATTAAAGGGCTTGATATCAGACACAGCACTGAATTCTCAGCACTGAAGCTGGGATGAATTCAGGTCCTGAGGATTCCAAAACAATGTGCACCAAGTAAGGCCCTTAACGTACCCAGAAACTGGCAGCAAAGTAAATAATTCATAATAATGTATTAATTCAAACTGAAAGGCACTGCCTGATGAATTTCCCTGACCAGTCTCACGCTCCTTCCCCTGCTGAAACAGATTGTTTTGCTCTATGAAGACTGCTAGTCTTTAATTTATGCAAATAAATAACACTGCTTCAAAAAGCCCCTTGTAGGGAAGATAAGAGCTGTGCAAACCAGTGCTCAGAGGAAATGTCACACACACTTTGTGAAGCTGCAGAAATTAGCACATTTAAAACATGTGAACTTATCATACAAAGAGCACATATATGTATTAATATTATTAGAAGTGTTACACTGGATCTTAAGCAATTTAGTCCAACCAATGAGGCTGTATTCAGGACAAGACAGGCACTGACCCTTTGTACTCAGTTCGGTAGTTAAAAGTGTTCAGATAAAGGTGAGCCCTGTTGCAGGCAAAAGAGGCAGATGCTGACAACAGAAATGCATCCCTCAAACATCTTGATTAATTACACTTTAGAATAACAACCACCTAAACTGGTTTTCACTCAGGGCTGAGGCTCATCCATGCCATGCAGAAAGCAGTGCCAGAACCACTGCATCTTTTGAAGATTAACAAATAATCTATAAGAGAAGGTAATCAGAAAACTTGCCATTTCTTTCCTTTTGTTTTTCCCATGAGTTCCTCAACAGATTCTAAATTTAAGTAGCTCAATGTTTTTTGTACGTCTGCCAGCCCACCTCTAAAATATTTCTCTAGAACAAAAATAGGTAAAGGTTAACTTAGAACATTTTAGCACATCTGATTTTTTGGTTGATACTCTTTTTAATACTATTCAGAACAGTTTGCTAGCAAGAACAACTCAATCCTGTAATGAAATAACCTATATTTCAACGTAACCTTTAACTCACATATAACAAAGAACACTGTAATAAGCAATTAGTTTTCCAAAGTATCCCATTTGTTTAGTATTTGACTCTTGCTTTCATCGTTTAATGATTTACAGTAATGAACTGGAACATCGGTATTTTGCACTGAAATGACCAAAATAGTTGTGGAGGCATCATTGCCCTCATGTGACAGACCTCAGATGTTTTTGTGAGAAGTTAGCCAAAAGCAATAGACAGTGCCATCGCTTCTGTTTAATTTGTACTGCAAAACAACAACAAAGTGACCATAACGACTTGTAGGCAGATCCCAGTAGCTTTTGGACTGTTCCTTTGCTGAGATTTTGCCCTTTGTTTAAGTTTTGTTTGACAAGGGCTTAATAAATGAGTAGAAGAGGTGGTTTATGTTTCATTAATGAGGTTGAGAGTGGTTAATTACTGAAGTTACGTAAACAATCCAATACCAGATCAAGCCGAATGGGTCAGTTATGCAGAAAAGACCCAGCTGGAGTAGATAGGATTTCCTTTAACTGTTCAAATACCAAGCAAGTTACAGAGATCCCGAATGACGAGTTCTGATGAATGCAGATTTCTCCGTACCTTGGAAATGAGTTCTCTCAACAGGCACCTATGTAGGGAAGATCTTCTCTGAATCTGCAGTTTCAGCACTCCTCAAATTCGCGGCCCTACCTGCAGAAAGGAGGACTTCCCATGTAGATGAGACTCTACAGAAGCTCGCAGTTTTCACACTGGCGATGGAGCGAGGCTGCAGGAGTGGTGCAGTGTAAGGTGTTCTGTGTCCCTTGTTCTCCACTTCCTTGGCACTTCTGGATTTCCACTCACGACAGCAGCTTTTTCAGCTAATATTTGCAGTCCATACCTACGAGTAACATTTTGTTTCCTCTCTAGCAAAGCGTGTTCAAATTATCTGATTTCCTTTGCTCACTTAAACGGCATTAGGAACATCACTAATCAGAGAGCGTATCACTGTCTTAACGATCTGAAACAAATCGCAGAAACTAGAGCTGGAAGAGATGTTACCATTCCTTTCTCTTCCTTCTGGATCCAAATAACTTTGAGATAGCGGTTTTTAAGTTCTGTGATGTAGTCCAACCTGATCTTCAGAATCTCCAGTAGTGAGTTCTGTATAAGAAATTATTCCAGAGATATTTTTACTGCTGTGGTTTTTCCTTATTTTGTTCCTTATTCCCAATTAATTCCTAATTAAGCTTTTTATTGCTTGTTGTATTCTTTAAAAATATGGAAAACAGTTCGTTTTTCTCTTCTTTGCAGCAGTTCTTTATGTGATTCAAGTGGGTTCTCACATCTTCCATGTTTTATTGTCATGCTAAGCCCTGAATAGAAGAATGGACACTAAAATAGTGCAAATAAATGTATTTACAATGGACCACTACTCTGGTCTGAATCACTGACTGTGCAAAGTAGATTTATTACCACAACTGTGAAGATGGCCACATGGATAGGAGTAAATAGGCATGGTCTAATGTTTAATGTGGAACTCTACTACTAATTTCTACAAATTAGTTTTAGGTTCTTGTATAGTTATTTTGGAAATCTACTCTGGATCCAGTAGCTGTTAAAGCACTGAGCAGAAGCAGCACTAGATATCTTCTGAAAACCTGGGTTTCAGACTTAAAACACTTGGAATCAGCAGGCTTGAAGTACCTATGTCTCACTGGCATATCTGAATAGCTTGCCTGTGAAC